TGTCATGACCTGTCCGTCTTGGGTGGCCCTGCACGGTATAGCTCATGGCTTCACTAAGTTATGCAAGCCCCTTCGCCACGACAAGGCAGTGATCCATGAAGGGGCTGGGCGGCGTACAACAATTAAAAAATAAATACATAAAAAACTGTATATAAAAAACAGTAAAAACACATGAAAACAGGAAGGGATAAAATTAATAAGGGAGCCATCGCAAAATCTCCCCGGTCCCCTGGGACCCCAGACCTGATCCCATAGCCAGGTCGGGAGGGACTTCCAGAATGTTGAAGTGGATGGAGCTAATCCCACTTCTGGGGGGAGGAGACTCCACAAGGCGGGCGCCATGGCAGAGAAGGACCGCCTCCTGGGACCCGCCAAATGGAATTCTCTGGCAGACGGGACCCGCAGCATGCCTTCTCTGCCAGACCTGATGGGACAGGCAGATGTAATCAGGGAGAGGCGGTCCCTCAAATAACCCAGCCCCATGCCATGAAGGACTTTAAAGGTCAAAATCAGCACCTTGAATTGGACCCAGAAACAAACTGGCAACCAGCGCAGCTCGCGGAGCAGAGGTGTAACATGTACCGCCCTAGGGGCACACATAACTGCCTGCGCCATTGCATTCTGCACCAGCTGAAGCTTCTGGATACTCTTCAAGGTCAGCAGAATCTATGCCATACAGGGCTTTATAGGTAATAACTAACACCTTGAAATGCTCCTCTAAGATTTTGGAGAGGGGAAGAGAAAAGAAATAAAATGGATACTACTACTACTAATAAAATAAATAATAGAAATTCTAAATCCCACAAAGATAAGGTTTTTGGCCCAAAACTAGGCTGGTTTGGGAAAAATGTCATCGTGTAAGACTAAGTTCCATATACTTCAAGAAAAATACTTTTCTTATTTGTTTATTATTCTAAGCAACTGTTACTTCAGATGGTAAAGTATATTTCTAGGCCTTTTTTCAGGATTTTATTGCAGCGGAAGGAGGAACGATTAGGATTCTATCTTTCCCACAACCCTCCAACTCAATTTCCTACCCAAATATTTATGCTTTACTGGAGAACAAAGTTGCACTTCTTCTTATTAATATTTTATCAGGTTTACATATTATCTGCTATTAATCCTTTGAATATTCACATATATCTGCTAAGGGGGAAAACAGATTACACTGAATCAGTTTTAAGCCTTTCCATGAAAACGTGTTTCATACTAGTAAGGAAAAACTAATAGAGATAAAGTTAGAGTAACTTTTAATTTACATAGCAAAATATATCAAGAAAGTTATGCAACCACAATGGGAAAACTGTCTGTCTGTCACTGTTTGATTTACCTGTTTTATTCTGATCTTTATATTCTGTTTACCTTGTATACCTGAGCACAAATTATAACAATTTGATTATAACCTATCAATGGGAAAAATATTTTAGCCAAGACTGGAAACTGCAGTTTTACGACCAAAATAGATAGTATTTTTATGCAAAATTATATAACTCTTCTATGAATTAATGTCTAAAAGCCTAACTCTCTGCATACAAATGCAGAAACTGCAAGTAAATTATGAACATGAACATATATTCCCTCTAAAAGATAATACGTTATTAGCATTTCATAATCTCACTATTTCAGTTTTTCCTCCTCGCTTTAATGAAATGGACGATATCCAAGAATACAACAGTGGAGTAATTTAGGAAATTAATGCTTAAGCCTTAGTAAAAGAAAATGTTACATTATTTAAATTTGAGAAATTATCGTACATAGGTCAGACTGAAAGTGCCACAATTGCTCCAGCAGCCTATCCAGATGCTAAAGATTCTGACATCCTTTATTGATTAAGAACTTAAGCTACTCTTTTAAAAACAAGAAATAAATACAGTACTGGTGAACTAAACATTTACTAAACAGAAGCTATCAGCTGTCCTCATTGTCGTCTCCTCCTCATTGCATAGAACCGCACCCCTAAATTGGCAAGCAATATGAAGTTTTGGAATTGGCCTAGCATGATTTTGAAGACAAGGACTGGATTCATACATTGCATGGAACCATCATTTATTTAGCCATGGTTTAATGAATAGATCATAACTGGGGGGGTTCACACATGGCCTGATTTTTCAAAAATGTGGATTTCATTTAGAAATAAGACGTATTCACACCCGCCGATTCCTTGAAATATTTGTATGCCACATTTTATGCCATGCATCTATGAAAAGACCATTATACCTGCAGTCTGTCGACGTGAACCTTCACTCCACCGACAACACCTTTCTTAAAGGAGGCGAGCATGTCTAGTATTGGGTTGAATCTACTTCCCCTGGTGTAAAAACAAAAAGATTTAATATTGCAAACTTTTCAAAAGGGTGGGCATTGGGAGTCTTATGTGCATGTTGCTATGGGTAATGCCTTACTTTATATTGTCCTCTCGAATGAGCACAAGGAACAAGGGGCGGCCGTGCATTTTCCAGTACTGCTTAATGAACTGCAAAGCACTCTACAGAAATAAAATCCCCCCAAATGGGGAAGAAATATTGAAATGGTGTAAATAAAATTTAGCAATCGCAATCAACTCATCAAATTAGTAAAACAAGACACTGCATAGAGTACATATATATGAGTGGGTGTATGCGTACTGCATACTTTTGTGATTTTCCAAATGTATATGTATATATAATGCAATTTAAGTCTAAAGTAGGTCTGGATCAATCCAATGTGGTGATTCCTGAAGATGATTTGTGACATGGAAATGAAATCTCTGGAAAAGCTTCACCAGCCACAAACATTAATGGAAACTAGATGAATTTCGCAAGAGGCCCATGTCAGAAATATTTACTGAAATTGCATTTTAGAGAATTTTCTTTTTCTTCGGGGATAATTTTCATTATTCTCCTGAAAAGAATTATTTACAAAAAGTGGCAGAAGCTGTGTTGTATCTTTAATGTCTCTGACAATGTATCTTCTTTATCCTCCAGTTTTTTTAAGAATATAAGCCACCAAATCAATCCACTTGAAAGCCCATGGAAACCAAGGGAATTCAATTGCTTCAATATACAGAAAGGAAGAGGAAGAAAGGGGGCGGGGTGGGGGAGAATATTAAAAAAAAGTGAAATTATAGAGCACTGCTCTTTGGCACTGAGTGTTCCCAGATTATCCAACACAATCTTTACAAGCCAGCAGATGCTGAATGTAAATCAAGAAAAACTCTCCTTGGGGTTTCAACAGCTCTATAATTTCCTTCTGTGGCACCAGGGTTGTTTTTCTCCACTTATGAAAGTGAAGCTTACCAATTCAAATGTGTATTTCTAGCAACTTTCATCAATTCAGCATCACTTATCCTCTCCAATCTTTTCATTTCTCTCTCTCTCTCAAACTTTGCACGTTTACAGCTGCTTGGTTAATCCCGAATTTTGCAAAGCTAGTCCTGACACTTTTGCCTTTTTAATTTTGTTATTTGGTAGCGCACTGCATCTCTCTTATTAATCTGCTCCATCCCTGATTTCTCTTTGACCTATTTCTGTGCTTCTTAAAGAAATGAGAAAAGGGGCAGCATCTTATAGTGAAAGCATATTTCTTCAGGAAAAGGGATCTAAACTTTTTTGTGTGGCTCCAAATGCAGAAACTTCCACTTTGTGGCTAATATATGGAATTACCTATACAATCCAATTTAATGCAAGTGAACTCAAAGCATGTCTGACTTTTCTTAGTGAGGTTTCCTTTTGTATAAGTATGCAAGTAGGTGAAAGGTTTTGGGGAGAGAAATTGTGTCCCTTCTTCATCAGCTACAAAGCCTTCTCCTTTTTTCTTTTCTTTATGTTCCCAGACCAATAAAGTACAAGACCTAATTATCTATGATTTAAATATCTAAGCTTTTAAAAATAAAACATATAAGCAGCATCAGATTTTACCAGAAAATACCTTAATATCATCAATCAACATCATAACATCCTGGGACATGTAGAAATCACTCAAGTCAAAGATGATTGGGTAGCAAACAACCGTTTTTCCCAGTATTCGATAAATCTATAGAATAAACAATCAATTTCTTAGATACATGAAACACAGATAATCAAATCTTCATTTTTATGAGAGAAAACTCCAAATTCTACATTATGGTTAAAGCAAATCAACACAGCATTTTTAATTAACCAGGCACTCAAGCAAGCCAAGCTAAAATAACAAAGTTGGGTGGAACTTCAAAAACTAGCATGGTTATGGTAGAACAAGTTTTATTCAGCAATTACTTTGACATACACATGAGAGCTTTCTCCTAAGTTACTAATGAGATGATTCTCCTTAAGCATCTGCACAAAATAATTGATAAACTAATCTTATATAAGATTGCAATTCCAGTCGTAAGCCCTGCAAAACTCAATGGGCCTTATTCCTGAAAAGAGTGGATAGAGCTTCACTGCAAATTTCTTTCTAAGGTTAGAGAATAATTTAGATCACCTCCAATATTTACACTAACTAAAACATGCAGAACAATGATTCTCTGCAAGAACCTTTGATGTTCCAAGGCAACCAATTGGCCGATCGGGTCTTCCTGAGAGTCCCAGTTTTTCATTGATGCCCAGATGGAAGTAAGCCTGTAAAACATTATAGTGTAAACATCACACAGAAAACCAACGTTCAAAGAGAATGTTGAGGGTGGTGTGTTTGGGAAGGACTGGTAAGGACAGCAGAATTCTTTATTCATTTAAAAAGAATTAGAGGCTCCTTCAGGCAAAATAAGAATATTTATGAACTCTGAGAGAAGAGATGACAAGTGAATGTGAGTAGGAGAGGGAAATGATCTGGAACACTCTAAAAAAAAAGTCACCAGTTTGTACTTCTTGCACAAAAGATTGCTTCAGTGAACATATTAACTCTTAGGGCTCTAGCCAAGGCTTTCTGAGCCAAGTAGACTACAGGGAGCTTGGTCAATGATTCTTTAGGAGAGTGACCTTTTTAGAAAGTGAAGGTCATCCTGCTGTCAAAAAGCCAAAAAAAGAACATCCTCCCTCCCCCAGTATTGAAGCTGCTGCTTTCCAAGGCAAGCAAAGAAAGGATGGTAGAAATCAAAGATAAACTCTACTTCAAAACGGCATGTGGGAATATGTACAAATCCCACCCTTTCTTTGTCTTTTGTGGCCAGTGGATCTATATTTTAATTGCATCCTGTTAAAATGATTGAATTGTGTGTAGTGCTGTTGTTTGGAGGACGTTCAAAAATTAGGATAGTTCTAGAATACCACAGTCAAGCTGTTATCAATGATCTATACTGGGATCATTCTCCCTTCCTGAAACAGTTATACAGGACTCCAATTTATCTGAGTGTTTAGTTCAAAGAAGTAGTGGTGGCATTTCAAAGTTTCTGTTTGGGAGCCGGAAATCTGAAGGACTTCCCTCTCTTCCTCTTACTTTCTCACGCCCTGCCCCTGCCAGGCCTGGTATGGTGTAAGTATTTGAAATAAAATAAATATTAAAGATCCATAACTGAAATATACTGACAATATAAATGGATTTAATGTTTATTGGGAAAAAGGTGGTGGTATATTTTTAAGGTTTTTTCAGGGGACTAGGTGGGACTGTCCCTGAAATATCCCATTGTTTTTTTCTGGCATTTTTAATTTGTTAATAGAGTCTTTAAAAAATGATAGCAAGAAACAAATTTTTCACATATAAACCAGATTTCTTCTCTCTCTTTCTTTCTTTGTCACACAAACAGAGTTAAAATATTACATCTTTCTCTAGAGTCTGGAATATTACTCATTTTTGCAACATGAGTCCAATGTACAATATACAAATGAAACACTGCAATTCACCTGAAAAAGATGGACACTTAATCCTCCAAAATAGCCTCATTTTCACTAAAGACTAAGGAGAACTAGGCTCTAATTGAATTATCCAAATTATTTGACACGTTAATGGCTTCCTCTGCCAAGACATGATACAATAATCACCTTTTTGTTTTTCTTAAGATTCAATTACTACTCAAAATATGTTACTCTCTGAAATTCTATTCTATACCCCATAACAGACTTAGCATGCTAAAGTAGCAAAAATAAAGGAAAAATGAACTATGAACTCCCTTTCTACTTATTTCCCAATCCAATGATTTCCTGTAATAACTAAAGCTCCAATTTATAGATGATGCTTCCAGCAAATACCTCCTTTCTTCTTTTTTATCAAGGAATCAGGTTCACAAAGGTTATCACTTTGATGAAGAAGGAAAAGCCAGCATGCAGAAATACATAGATGTATAACAAATAGGTTCGACATTGGGATATGTGTTATTTTGGAAGCATTTTATTTTGCTGTGACAATTTTACTCATCAACTAATCTCAAAATACCAATATGAATATGTTAAGCTTATTTGCTCAACAAAATTTGAATTGGACCTTGTTTACAATGAGATGTGTTTGGACTAGAAACATCTGCTGTTCTAAGCATAGGAGTGAAACAATATTAGAAGAGATCTGCTATATATAACAACAAGTGTACCATTTATTTCATTTTCTTATAATTCATTTCTAGCTATTTCTAGGGTGTTCCTTGTAATAAAACCTGTGTTTACTGACCTAGATAGATAGATAGACAGACAGACAGATATAGAGACAGAGATACAAGTTTTTTAATGTGACATGAATAGTACAAAAACAAAGCAATTTATCATAGCCTAAGAAACACTGGTTTAATAAAAAACAAAAAATAATTATTTTTTAAAAAAGCTAAAGCAATATCTTACCTTCACAAGCTCTTGTTGAGGCCAAATCTGGATGGGTTCAACCTGCTGTGGTGTTTGCGTTTGGATTCCATATGTGTTCAGAAAAACCTGCAAGCTGTTGTTTTTTTCAGTAAAAACATTACAAAGGAACATTAGTATGACAAAATCGGAATCTGCTTTCAGGAGACTTTGTAGAAACTATATTTGAAACAAAGACATGATTTTACTCTTAGAAATGGAATCAAAGCCAGGCTGAGTGTAATAATACTTATTACTGCTTTGAGACTTTCAAGAATAGAACTACCATGTGGGCCCAAATATCTCCAAAGGGTCTTGGAAGGATCTGCCTGGGCTTATGCATTGATGTAACATGCTAAGATAAAAGCAAACCAACCATGTGATAGTCTAATACAATGTCTGTGTTCAGCCTTTAACTCTTGAAGCTGCATGAGCTAAACAGGAAACCTAAATATGGCTGGTGACAAAATTCAGACCTGAACCAAGAATTCTTCCCAATTCATCATTCTTGAGATCAGTTCTGGGGACCTGAGCTTCACTGTAGGTTTGTGGTGGATCCTGAAGCCCAGTGAATTAACTAATTTGTTGATCAGAAAAGGGAAAAGTCAAGCTAATTTTAATTTCCAGCCTGATCAATCAAAATCCAAAGGTTTCGTTCTGCTTCTTGATCACAGGATACTGTTGAAGGATGGAGGCATATGGTTTAGCCTATAGAGGTTCTGTCTCTACAGACCATAGAGTTTCCATCTTATGTACCAGAATCACCAACTAACACATTGAAAACCAATCAGAGAGATTTATCGGTGATTTGAATGACTTACCGCTGGCTTTCAGCGATCAATGCAACATGGACCACTAGGTCATTTTCTAAGGGACCCTAAAAATGTAAGAATAAAAACAAAGCTTTTTATTGGAATTTACTATCTGATTGTTACCCACCACGCAACACAAAGCCAATGCGAACAATAACCATTCATTAAATATGACTGACATTTTCAGGCTGTGTTGCTGCTTTCCCTCATTCTTTATTGCCTGCTAATCAATTTGGCTATGCAAACAGGAGAATGGAACATCAGGGAAGCAACACACATAAATCTAAATGCCACCTGAGGAGCTGCACTGTCAATAATTTTTGAATGATGCACTATTGAAATGGTAGGAACAGAGTCTTCCTTTTTTTTTACTCTTTTGTAGCGAAGCAGGAAGGAGAAGAAACCATCACCTTTTGATTTATTAGACTTGTGCATCATTAAAAAAAAAAAAAGCATTCTCTACTAGTCAATGAATGTAATGCTACTGGTTATCTCACAGCAGTTGGTATATAATTTTGATCTATAACAGATGTTCTATGAAGCAGACAGCCTACATGACTGCACATGTAGAGTTTATTTATCCAAAATGTCCTTTTCATTCATTTTATGGGCAGATTCCATATGTGCATTTCTTTGAGCATATTGATAAGACCCATCCACAGCAAAACCCATGGGGTTGTGACTGCCTAGTGATACATCAGAACACAGGATTCTGACTTAGGGCACCTGCAGGGCATCAACTATACTTCTAGCTCTAGGGATTTTTAATTGGGCAACTTCAATGAGTGTGATAATAGTAAAAGAGTAAAACTATATACACTGCACTGTGTCTGTGCTGTACATGCTTGCAAAATCTGGGCACTTTCTAGATACGTGGACTTCAATTACCATACGTCTCAGCAATGGCTATTCTGGCTGAAGGATTCTAGGATTTGAAGTCTATGCATCTGGAACATGCCCAGGTCAGGGAAGTCTGCTATACATATGTAATACAGATTGCTATTATTTGAGAAAAAACTGGAAACAACAGTTACAATAGTACAATCAGTGTTCTCTGATGAATGCTTATGATAAGTAGGACGACACCATACTTATTATTCAAAGATTTAAGTATTTACCATCCATCCTACTATGAATTTAAGATGCCGTTCAATTTATTGCAAATCAGGCATTTGTGACAGCACGATGGTGTGAGTGTGATGCAGGATTACCTTTGTTCTATGGTAAAATAATAGAACTGTTGTTAGATCTATGGTGTGAGGATTGGTTTTTAATAAACTTAAAAGCAACAGGTGAGCAACATACAAGTCCCTTAAGGAATGAGTGTTGATCAAGTCAGGACATTGGAAATTTGTCACCACAATATCCTCCATCCCTTTGATCTGAAGTTCTAATGGCTTCACAACAGCCTGTTGACTAAGTTGCTGGCAGGACCTCCTAGGCACAATAGGAAGAAACTGAAGTGTGACTTTTCCCCAGAATTTAACCTAAGGACCAACATCTCCTGTGGAGTCAGAGAATGAAAGAACGCATATTGAAATATCGGATCCACACCTGTTTGGACACATGACATGGATTAAAAGTCTGCCAGGCAGCTTGTGTTTGACTAAGCCAGTTTAGTGACTCTTGAACAAAACAGCATATACTGCTGTTGGGAACTGAAGGACTCCTTTATAAGCTGCTGTTTTCATCTGTTAATCTTGATCTGCCTGGCATGATTCCTATTTTGTTCATTTCTCTTCTTTTTTAGGGGGCATCAAAAGCAAACTTTACTAGGAGCGTTTCAGTGATTCAATTTATTACACTCATCTTTTAAAGAAAAGTAATGACAAAAGACACAGACACAGAAAGAAAAAGAATATCTGGAAGGTGGGCAAACGTAGATTTTCTAAAATTTGGAATTGTCAAGTATGTACAATTAACGTTTTGAAGACACTGTTTCCACTGTTTTTACAGCCCAAGAAACTAGGGAATGTCTCTTCTGAGTCTCTTGCCCCACCCACTATCCCATTGTGGGCTATGCTGTCTCTTATCTGATCATTCCCTAGGCGGTGTTTCTTGGCCCATTCTCCCAAGGTCTTTCCCACATACCATTACATTAGAAGAGGGCTGTTTTAAATGAGTAAACTAAGCTGCTGAGGGATATAACAAATCCGAAACATAAATAAAAATCCTGGCTCCGTTAATGCTTTATTTAGCCTGATGAATCTTTTGAAGCATCAAATACAGGTGATTTCAGCAAGGTTAAATGTAAATGAGCTTTTAATATAGGTTTGAAGAAAGGATTGTGAAAAGAAGAAAAAAAAACTTATGACTTATTTATCGGGTCTGTGATTCTGTTTTTGTTTGTTTCTTGACTGAGAGAAAATGCTTGAATGAAGATATTTTATGGCACTGGCTGGAAGAAAAAGAATCAGCATATGTAGACAGCTGCAGAGAGGTGTTGTCTGTCCCTGTGCATCCCAGAGAACATTGTGGAACTCTAACGTGAAGCCCTTTTATGAAGTACTTGTCCACTTTACTTGGAAATGTGATATTCATAAGAAAAGCAATACAGGGGAATTACCCAAAACATGTTATCATTTCTCTGTTGAAGGAGAGAACCATTTTAAATGCAGATGAGCATTTTTCCATACGGGGTCATTCATGCTTGAATTCCAGTTATGGGAAAAAGAATAACAGCCCTTTGATAGATCTGGTTTCACAATAAGTCTATATAAAAAGTGCCATTTTCTAGAAAACAGCTTCTGTAACAGCGATCTGTGATACCACCAACCTTAAGTTTGATTAAATTGTTTTATTACTAATGAGAACAACTACATGAACCTCATTAATGAATGGGATTGCTTTTAAAAAAAAACTGCTAAAATTTGGCTGACTGATTTTGCTCTCAAAAGGCTATCTAATGTTATATATATTGAGATAAATAAATGGATTTCCTTAATTTGCTTTGGAACAAAAATGAGATAGCTTATTCTGAAAACCTCTACAGAGAACAGGAAAGCAACTCTTAGTTTCTGAATTTGCAATTAGGCAAAATGTATGGCTTCCAGTTTCAGATTTCATATTTTTGGAAGAGGCAAGGGGAATCTCCAGGTTAGAGAGAACCTATGTCAACATGATTCAGGTGCTATAGAGGATGTAAAGAGGATGGCCTTGGTGGAAAGATGGGAGATCCCTTACCAAAGCAATAAAGAGGGAAACAGTCCTTAAACCCAAACAATTAAGAAGGTATGTATAAATGTCTCAGCCACCCCACTACTCACATGAGTATAAGAAAGGGAGGAGGCAGAGCGTAATTAGATTTGCAACATTCTGTTACTAGAGTATAGTCACTCTTAATAAAAGTAGTTCTAGTCTTAATGTGATTTCTTGGTCTGATCTACATCTTGGAGCTGACAGGTGCCTTCCTGGGCCATCAAGACAATGGCCAAGTATCCATTAACTTGGAAAGGCTTTGACTTTTGCATAGCACAGTGGGCAATGTTTGCACGTGCTTCATGCTTATCTGAAATAAAAGGACAAATTTAGCTGAGTCATGTCTGGGAGCTCTCTGCTGAAAAAGCCTGTTCCTGAATAAGGGAATAAATGTCTGGAGAACAGAGATTTACAGTCAAGCTGGATAAGAAGCTGTTAACTGAGTTCATTCCAGATAATGGCTCTGCAGCTAAAATGAATTAAAATAACAAATACTAATGGAATTCCAGTAAATTCCAAAACATTGAACAAAATAAAATAACTTGACTTATTGAACTGAAAACAAACAGAAGGTAAGAGTTGTGAAAAAGGAAATTAAGATAAGATACAGTAATGATTGCTTAAAAATAAATGCGTTAAGAACGTTAAATTGATCCTACTGCCTTGACTTCTCTGCGGTACTACACCTAAAAATATGAGGTGATCCACAGAGTCTATCACAATCTCATAAATTCTGTGAGCTGTGCATCAATACATTTAAGCAGAGAGGAGGATAGTTTCACTTGTTTCAACTTGCTGTTGTAGAATTTTCCCACAAAACAACGTCAAGCCTATTACCCTTTCTCACCTCCCTCATACTCTGCACCATTCCACAATAGATTATAGGTTTAGGTCAAAATCATGCAGTTTGCATATTATCAAAGTTTGTGTGTTCCTTCTCTACACTGTGTGCACAATTATTAGGCAAGTGAGTATTTTGACCATATCATCATTTTTATG